ACTTTTTCTTTCCTTATTTATGATTCAAAAGTGCGTTTTTGGTTATTAAAAAAAATGAATTAAAGGAGGCAATTGCTGTCCATTTCACGATGAACGCACATTCGACTACATTAGCTTGGTGGGATGTTAAGTGGAGCAACGTATCAGGTAACTGAGTTGATGTTGTTTCCAAATTTTTTGTTTTTTTGGATGAGATTGCCGCGTAAACGTTAATCTAGTACTGAAGTGAGTTCGAGTTTGCACTATATTCGCCCACACTCAAGTTCGCAGTTACGGCTTTGAGCACTTACCTCGAAAAAGATATAATTACTAATGAACGCATCCAGCATTGGGCTACCAAAGTACCGCGCAAAATGAAGCGCTTCGACTACGAGACAAGATGCATCTCAACGAGTTTGCAAAACTCGACTTATAATCGAAGCGCTATCGAAGGTACTTTGGTAGCCCAATGTTAGATATGTTCTTTGGTATTTTTGTCTTTTTTGAAGTACGGACTCCAAGCGGTAACTGCGAATTCGAGATGTGGGCAAATAGGTGGTGCAAAGTTTTTTCCATATTTTGGTGTCTCTGCTAATTAAGGTGTGTTTTTAAAATTCCAAGAACATTATTGGCCTTGGAATCAGCAAGGCAGCAGCAGCAATTTTTGGCTCAATTCGCATGCTTTAAGTTCTCAGCAATTTGAACGCCCAAGTCTTTTTCGGATATTGTTGACTCGAGTTTTGTTCTGCTGACTTTGCTGTTAGCTTTATAACCGCTCATTGAGTAAATGTGTGGGAAAATGTTTTATAACTTGATGTGCATAACCTTGCGTTAGTCGAGGTTGAGCTCCATCAACCATTTTTGAGTCTGGGTTATGATGCTATCAGCTTGTAAAAATATTTTGTCTTTTGTGGTTTTGACGACGCTCAGAATTTTAATATTGTCTGCGTACTTTTTTTACAGATGCTTTCACCAATAACGTGTTTAGGTATGTTGTTGATAAAGATTATGAAAGATTATGTAGGACCTTTTACTAAAAGCTGCGGAACCCCACTGGTAACTTATTCTCAGTTTGATGAGGTGTTACTGAGAAGAACGCGTTGTGATCTATTCGGGAGAAAAGCTTTAATCCAATTAAGAACTTTACATTCGATTTCGTAGGATTCAGTTTTTTACAATAATCTTATGTGATGGACTTTGTCAAAAACGTTAGTAAAGTTAAGAAAGAACACGTCCTCAAGAAGTTTATGAGATATGCTGTAGGTTTAGAAAGTCCATGGTCTTGAGCAGATTCGTGACGCAAGTTTATTTATTGCTGAATCCGTGTTGACAATCAGCAATAAGTTTGTTGGCAACAAGGTGCTTCTTAATTCATCTTTTACCATTTTTTACAATATTTTGCATGGTACAGAGGTGATGGAGATTGACATTTTTTTGTTAGGTTAAGTTAGGAGCTGTTTTTGAACAGTGTTGTTACGTTTGTCGAAAGCCACGCCAAAGTCGACCACGACTTGATATAACGATTTCTGAAAAATAATGTTAAGTCTGGCAGCCGCCGCATTGACACATTCTTTAAGCACAAATGGTTAATAGCAATAAAAACCAGTTGGTTTGTTGGCGTTAAGAGCAAATAAGCGTTTCTGAACAGAATTATAAGTAAAGATAACGGAGGAGATTAAAGCGGTTGTGCGTTTGATGAAGGGTGGTAAAGATTGAAGTAAATACTGACTGGAACTGATTGTTTAGTATATTGGCAATGAATGACCGGTGGCTGCTTATTTCCCCAAAGGGTGAGCATATAAAAGTTATTTGATTGCTGACAATGTGTTTGCTGTTAACATAAGCGTAGAGACGTTTAGAATTCCATTTTTTGTTGGCTTTTTTGTATTCGAGTTCTCTAATTGCAATGCAGGAAGCTGTTTTGAGAAGATTTCGATTGAGGCTATACTCTCTGACAAGAGTAGAACTAACCATCGCTGGTCAGTTAAGGCTGTCTACGTTTGGTCGGTTAAAAGGAGGCCCGCGGAATGAATTCATGGAAACATTCAATAAAGTTATCGCAGAAGATTTAGTAACATTCATCGGCATATCGATTTTTAAACAGATTTACCCAATCAACTTGGGAGAGTTTTGCTTAGTTTAGCGTAGTTATCTTTCTTATAGATGAACTTCGAGCTGTTAAAACAGAGAGAGTTGTAAGCATTATTGGTGTTGCCATATCAGAGTGCAGTAGCCTTGTGGAATGCTACCTAAATGAGGATCAATGTTATTGAAGCTTATTCGATTGGCCGTTTCATTTTTTTGAATTGACCGTGGCTTGGATAAAGGTGCGATCAATAACGTACTTGTGTACATGTAGATCGAATAGAATTTTGACAAACTTTGTGCCTAAGCTAGTTTCAGCGGCAGTGTTACTGATCCAGTCTTCATGTCATTTAACGTCTGGGAAATTGAAGTCACTGGTGATTATTAAACCATAAAATTTTTTGTTGACCACGTCTGTTTTTGAATGGGAGAATAATTTTCACTAATTCATCGAAGACCGAAGCGTTATTAGTAGGTGGGGAATAAATACAGCTAATTAGGAGAGAACCTTGTGAAAGTTTAAGTTCGAGCCAAAGCTGTTCCGATATTTTGCTTTGAAAATCAATGTGCAATAGAGAGTCGTTATTTTAACTTGCGTTAATGCTGCTCTTAACATAAATGATTATGCCTCCTCCGCGATTGCAGCTTTTCTTTAGATGTTGTAGTTTAGAAGCGCAGGTGCTGAGGATTCATCAAACCAAGTTTTAGTGGTAAAAATGATGTCATAGTTGTAGTGAGACGTTGCCAAGGCGAGTTCGGTAAGTTTATTGGAGTGTTAAGATGGGGCATTAGTGTAGAAGCAGTTTAGTGACGGTTTGCAAACACTGTTTTGTGAAGTGGCTGAAGGCGAGTTGTTGATAGTGGAAAAACAGTTATGTGTTGGATGTTTAAGTTTTTGCCTGGTTGTTTTGCGCTGCTGCGACTGCTTTTTTACAGTTGAAAAATAGGTACTTTTCCAAATCGTTGACGTTGACTTTTTTCTTTAAGTCGGGAAAGGCGGAAAAATAATCACGTGAGCATGCGCAGTTTTCTTTCGGACAAATAAAAACTTTTATTACGCATGCTCACGTGATTATTTTTCCCATTCCCGTAGAAAAACGGATGCAACTCGTTATCCGCAGCAACTCTGTTGCTGCGGATAACGAAACAAAAGGGTTGGTTAAGTTTACCCTTTGTGTTAAGGCTGTTGTTGAATTTGTACTTTTTTTGCTGTGAGAGAGTTTGATCAGGCCGTATGAAACACTTTTGTATGTCTAATTGGTAGCTATATTTTTAGCGATTGCTAGAAGACCGTTGCAAGTTTCATTGGTTGCAAATTCTAAGAAAAATAATAAGAAGCGGAGAGATTGGTTGAGTGAATACCGCGGCAGCGGAAATTGTAGATGTGTTAGTGTTTGGGGGCAATTTGTTGATTTTGATAGAATTGGCATGCAGAAAGTTGATCAGAAAATCTGAAAATTAGACGTTGGAATGCATTCTTGCAACTTTAAAAGAAGCTAAGTTGTGTACATAATGTAAAATACCTTTTACCGATTGATCGACAACGGAAACATTGGTAGTGGCTGCGTTAGAAAGCTCGGTAATGATAACTTTCTTAGCTTTTAATTTTTGAAGCCTGGTGTTTATTTTTACGGCATTTATGACAGCGTTGTTAGTAGATGACCCAATTTTGTTAAATGCTAGGCAAATGACTATAGGATTGGTCAAGGCTTTAGAGTTGATGGATGATCTGCCAACGGTTGGCAGTTAGCAAGTTGAGCTTGTAGGTTGGTATTTATTTTTGGAGACCTGCTACTTTTATTAAAGTATCATTTTGACACTTGAATCAAAAGAGCGGATCATAGCGTCGCAACTTTTGTGTAGATAAGCAGTCTTGCTTCTTCTAGGATATGGCCAATTTTAAAGCAAGCTTAATGGGTTTATGGAACAAACAATGTTTCATAAAATTTAATGGTACAAATGTTAAAATATTGAGATTTAATTCAATGGGTTTACAAATGGACTCACAAATGTGAGGCTTGAAGTCTCTATGGTTTAGGTAAGTGTTGGTTATTAAGTTGTTTAATAACTTAATTTTGTTGTTGTAGTTTTTTTATTATAATTTTAATTTATATAACAAGTTACTTTTTGATTTTAGTCAAAAGCAAAAATTAAACTTATCTTAAAATCAAAAATTAAACTATTAAAACTAATGGCGAACTATCAAAGTTTGAAAGATATTAAGGATAAGTTTTTTAATTTAATAAAAGTACTAATTATCTTTCGTGCTCACAACGGAAATTAAAATATTTTTGGTATTTTTAATATCCTAAAACATTTTTTTTCTTTTAAAAAAGTTTTAAAAATATCTTTGATTTTTACTGTTTATAGTAGTATTACAACATTTTGTCAGATGAATCATATAACTTTTATATAATTAAGGATTTAACAAACCGAAGGAGACCATCCGGTTTCTAAAATTTTTTGTATGCCAGCGCATAAAATATTTTTAAAAGAGAGAAATTTTTTTGTTACTACAGCAACAAAAAATTTTCTCCATAAACTTTTGATTAATACTAAAAATATTAAAAAAATGTTGAAAACAATCGATAACTACTATGACTCATAAACTTGAGTTTTTTTGTTAATAAAAATAATTGTTAACAAAAAGACTAATATCGGAGCATTCCATAAATCAAACTGTTAATCAGTTCGGAGAAAACAGTTTTAATTATTCTTATCGAATTTGATGTTGCGATCATTGACCATTAAGTTACAAAAAAAAGAAAATTTTTTTGTTGTAATAAATGCCATTTGTACTTCATATGAATGCCTATCTAAACTTAAATATTCAGTAAATGAACATTTAAGTTTAGACAAGTTTATGAATATCTCAAAATTTGCACAAATTATTTAAGGACGGGGTTGATAAAACAACGGAAAAAACTTCAGAAAGATTAAAAAAAAATTATAAATTTTTTTTTTTAAATCTTTAAAAAATAACAATAAAAATATTGCGAACACTATAAAGATAGTGTAAAAAGCAAATTAACATTTCAACAAACGTTCTTTCTATAAGCTAGCTAGCAAGCTTGCAAATCAGTGCAATATTTATGGCATGACTATTATTAATGGAGCTTGAGGTACCACATTAAGAAGATTTTTTAGTTTCAACTTTTGATAATTTCAACTTAGTTTTGTTGTAGATTTCGTTTAATTCAAAATCACGAATAATGTTTTCTTCATTAAAAATATAAGGGATTGCAGTTCCTTTAGCATTGATTTGAGGTCTTCGCATTGATTCTTTTCCATTTACAAACAATATAAGAGTTGGTAACGCTTTAGATGTGACAGAATGATTAACACAATACTTCTCAGCAATTTTTTCATATCTAGTTACATCAAGTTTACCAAACTCAAAAAAATCATTACTATACTTTAATGAAAGGTTAGCAAAAGTTCCAGAAAACCTGGTACAGGGTGGAGACCACGCAGCATAAAATTCAACAAGCATAATTTTTTCTGGATTATGATAAAGTTCTTCATCAAGGGCTTGACCGCGAAAAAATTTTATTTTATCAGGTCCTTTATATGAAGGCTCTGGAAAACCAATAAACAAAACCAAACAAAATAAAATATATAAGATACCATAGCGAATATCGTGACGCATAAACAATAGTATGTTGGTAGTTTTAGCAAATATAAAAAAGTTGGAAATGTACTCTTTATTACTTAAAGGTTTCCAACGACGATTTTTCATCATAAGAACTATTCCAGTAAACATTAGTATTTCAGTATCTCTCCAATCATATGTACATTGACCATCATCATTAGGATCATATAATATCCAACATAGTGGTTCGAATGAGCGAGTCAAAACAAACATAAAAGATGCAACAAAGTTTAGAATGTAATGGCCATTTAAGTATTCTTGGTACGACATTATGTATCTCTTTATCTATTGCTATAAAATTGTCAATAAAAAAAATAATAACAAATATATATATATATATATATATATATATATATATATATATATATATATATATATATATATATTTCAATATTTTTTTGTTACTTTATTTCATACAGTTTTTTCAGAAAAAGAAGAAAAAACAAAACATAGAATATTAAAAAAAAAAAATTGATGCTCTAGCCAAGCAGTTTCCAATCTGTAGGTCACAACCCTAATGGGGATCACCTGACAACTTGCCAGGGGTCGCCATTAGAATTTCTGAAATTAATTTGTTTACACTAGTAAGTGTTCTTTTTGAATCATTTTTGAACTTAAGTGATACTATTACCCTGATTAAAGTCATTAGTCCAACAATCGATGTCAGCTCCAGTCCAATAAGTAATATTAGTAAGAAAGGAAGCATGAACTTCCTAATTAAATGCTTTTGCATGGTGCTCACAAAAAAATACTGTAAGCTAACATTACTTTAAGTGTGCAATACACTTTATACAATTGGAGTCACACACAATTGAAACTTTAAAGTTGAAAAAGGAATAAAATGTTTACAATGTAAAGATTTTATTCTGTTGCAAATAATAAACAAAGGATATAACAATTTGCTTATTATTATAAATCAATTAAAAAATAATTGTAACAAAAAAATGTTGCCTATAAATAAAATTAAATATTTCAAAGTCAAAAAACATAATAGTTAGCTACAAAAATGCAGTGATTTAGGAGCAACTTTATTAATTTTATTGTGGTGTCGCCACAACATGGCAAACAATATCAAGGGGTCATGGCATTGGAAAAAGTTGGGAGCCACTGCCTTAACTCAAACCCTTAGTTGATGTAGCAGCAACTCTCTTGCATGTTGCACTTATTTGTCAGTCAAGGTACTTACATTTGTGGAATTTGTACATAAATTGAAGCATTTAGTGCTTAAAAGTACTTAAGTCACAAAAAAAATATTTTAAGAAAATCTTCTTTGATCAGCCATTTTAAATCATTTTAAATTCTTACTTAAAATTTAAAGTATTTCAAGTAATTTAGTGCTAAGAGTCACTTAAGTCAATGCTTAATAAAACAGTGTTTCTCTGATTAATGTATCTTTTCTCAAAATATTTTTTTGCGACTTAAGTTCATTTAGCACTAAGCTCTTCAACTGTTTTTGGAATAATTTTATTTTGTGATATTCAATCCCTACCAAGTCCTGGTAGTACCCCCCTCAATTTCACTGCGCACCAGTCTTGTTTGTCACGGATTATGTTTCAGAGTTGTAAAGTTGAAAGAGAGTTGTAACAAAAGTATCCTTCTTGACTGGAGTGGCCTTCATGGTTTTTGGGAGGTGAAATGAAATTAAAAAAATAAAATATATAAATATAGTAGGCTATACTTAAACACATATAGATAAAAATGCTTAAATAGGTAGTGATTCCAGAGCGCAACGAAAAACAATTGATTTTTGGCAAACATATAATTTCATGAACTTTACTCTCTTATATCTTTTTTTATAATAAAGCTAAAACCTTGATATTTTTTGCATCAGTTTGACTCAACTTCTTTCCAACCATATATAGAAAGTGCTATGTTTAATATGGCTTTTTAAATATATTACTTGTGTCTTAAGACCACTATTGATAAAAAAATTGCATCAAATATGTTTGAAAACTTCCATAAAGATTAAAAAAGGAATCTAATGGAACCTTTTTAATAACTATACATAATTTTTAAGTTCTCAGCGTTTAAAAACTTTAAGGTCTTATTAACTTTAAGGTCTTATTAACTTTTAGGTCTTATTAACTTTAAGGTTTATTAAAAAAAAAGCTTTTTAAAAAAAGTTCCCTCTAAAAAAAAGCAATTATAGCCTTTCCTCTATTCAAATCAAGTATTTATGTTTTCTTGAAGAAATGGAATTTAAGAATTTTGTTTAGAAATTATGTGTATAGTGTTTTTATTCCTTTGCGTATTGTTTGTTTTGATTTTTGCGCTTGCTTTTTGATATTTTTTAATGTTATTTCAGTACCATTTCTTGCCAAATTTTTCATACTTAAGGTCAAGACATTTTGTAAAAAAATCATCAGTTTTTCCAGCACAAAAAAAAGCAATAACTTTGAATACGATTAACTTCTAAAATTGAAAGACCCCTCATTTTTAAAGTCTTTTTAACCTCTATACAACTATGTTAACCATATATAAATATATTGACAAAAAAAAATCTTTTGGAATGGCTAAAATAGAACACTCTCAAGTATAACAATAGAACAAGACAGTAAAATTATTCTAAAGACAAAAAGTAAAATTATTCTAAAGACAAAATTATGGATATAAAGTATAAGTACATTCAGCTGTTAAATTAAAGCTTATAAGTATTATCTTAAGAATAAACAATATTGCTGTAAAAAAAATCAAAATAAACAATTTCTCAAAAAAATTTGAAGTAATGCATAAAGTTTAGTTTATTTATTATTTAATTATTATATATTAAATTATGCTGAAATTTATTTTAAATAAAGATAATTATATCTATGAATACATTTTAACACTATAAAAATTTAACACTTCAAGTTTCCGAAACTGCAATCATTAAGTACTCCTAATTTCTTTAAATGTAATAGTTTTTTTAAAAACTTGAACAAAAAAAAAAGAACAATAGTATTAGCAGAAAACATTGTAATTAAAATGTTTTCACTTGTTAAATAATGTTTATGTTATAATCCAAAAAAAAGTTGTTTTTAAGATTATTTGTACATATATGAAAAGCTTTACGTTTATATTATTATTATTATTATTAATAATTTATTATTCACCCTCTGTAAAATAAATTTACAAGGTAAAAATACAAACTAAGAAAAAGAGATAAAAAAAAAGGGCTACAGGCAATATTGTTTATGCTATAAAAAATGAAAAGCGGTAACATTTTAAATGAAGTATTTTAACAAACACATTTTTTACAAAGATATATAAATAATTAAACTAAAAATAAAATTCATACTTGTAAAAAACATTAAAAAATAAATATTATTATTGTTTATTTTTTTTAAATTTTCATAATCTTTCACTTACTGTTTATTTAATTAGGTATTTATTTATTTACAATAATTTTTTTTTCTACTCCTTATTACTCCTGAAAACTTCTAATCGTTTTAAGCATTTTTAACATGCCTTCGTGCATTTTACATGCAACTGTTCTACGCGTTTTCACTTAAATTTTTGTCTGAACTTTACAAATATTTTTTTTTTGACATTTCAGCCGTTTATTTTAAAAGTGGCATAAGCCACTTTTTTAAAAAAAAAAAGTTATTGAAAACCATGATTAAAATGTAACATAATCTCTTCATTTTTTAATAAGTTAAACCAATTGTGTTGAAAATTATTAGGGTATTTTGGAAAGAAGTTTTGCTAGTTAACGGTAAAACGGTATACATTAAAACACAAACCTCTGTTTAAAAACAAAATCTCTGTTTAAAAAATCACAAATCTCTGTTTAAAAACATAATGGCTTAAGCAAATTTTAAAAAATAAACGGTTTATTTTACGTCCATTTAAAGATGTTACGTTTTACAAATAAGCGCTATTCAATTTACTTCTCAATTGTTTTTATTATTGATTATATTAAAGAATATAATGCTGATTCAAAATCATATAAAAACATAGGTTTGAAAATGTAAGGTAAGACTCTAATTTGATGTCGAATTTTAAAGAGTTTTCATTATTCGCCATCTTTTTTCTTTATAATCACCGTTTTTAATCATTAGGCCAACAAAATTTCACTTTTTTAATTATTTTTTTCTTTGCATACAATATGTTTTTCTTATAGTATTCCTCATTCTGATTTAAAATATACAATCCTTTTTTTTCTATCACGTCAAGTTTTAAAGATATTAGGATTCAAATCCCAAACATTTGGGATAAAATCCCTAATATTGTTAAAAAAAAGTATGTTAACCTGGGTCTCAAAAGTAGCGTTTTTTCACAGAGATTTCAAAAATAATATTAGTTTGTCAAGCATGTTGTCAAGCAACGAAATAAATGTGAAAAACTGAGTACGTAGTTTTTTTTCATTGTTTGTATTAAAATCTTTTAAATTGTTTTGTATTTTTTTTACAAAGTGTTGTGGTTTCAAAAAAATGTGTTAGTTTTTCAATTTAACTTAAAATTAATTTAAAGGTGACAAAAGAAAAAGACATAAGAGAAAAAATTATGCACAAATATTTGGGAAATCTCAAAATTAGCTACAATTCGATAGTAAAAGCGTTGCAAATACATCTATACACCGTTAGTCGTGTAATTAACGTTTTTCTTAAACAAAATCGATCAAACGCAAATCTGATGGTGGAAAAAAAAGGAGAGTTTTGAAGATATAAAACTAGTTAGAAAACTGGTTAACAGTTTTAAGATTATCCCAAGCTTTTCACTAAGGAAACGCGTAATTGACTTTCTTATAGTTTTGTTCTAAAAGTTCAAAATAAACAGGCCCAAAATGTGCCCAACCGATCTGAAACTTAACAAAAACGTGGCTATTTTGAACCAAGTGATCCTATAATTTTATCGGGAGGCAAAAGTGAAAACAAACATAAAAACAAACAGGTAAATAATAAAACTTATTAGTTATGAAATTTCAAAAATGATATGCATATATAAACATAAATTCAAGAAAATATACCATAGATTTGTCGAACAGCCCCTAACAGACCTATAAGTCTTAGTTTTCTTGTTGAAATTTCTTTTAATTTCGTGCGATATTCAAAAGGTTTGATTTATAAATTGAAATAAAAGACTATTGAGAGCGTAGAAAAGTATACATATATATAAGTATATACAATATTTTTTTTATTTGTTTGTAAAACGCTTTTTCAAAGCCTGATAAACTATTACCAAAAAATTTTTGATGAAGAGTATTAATATATCGTCAGATATTTATTCAGTACTTTTCTCTATAATTTGAATGTTTCCTCAAATTCCTAATAAATTTTGCAAAGTAAAATATTTATTGCAAAACTTGGAGTTTTTGCAT